TGTCAAATTATTATCAAGATAACTTTTTTCTAATATTTCAAAAAGTGTCAAATCAATTCACACAAAATTTTCACACAATGTTGGCAAGACTCACCTGCGCATTCACTGAAATTTTCGTACTGATCTGCGCAATGTAAACAAACTGGCGCCATATTTGTTATCAGCGCAGTGATTTAAGCGTGCCAAATTATTAGAAAGGTTTAGTACAATTCCCAGAATTGAGCAAACAAAACGTTTATTAATGTTGCACGTGAATGTTTATGATCAAAAGAAACTAATAAATAAAATAATCAAATAATAACAGATACAAACAAAGGCACAGTTTTAAACAAATTAATAGGGAATGTGTTTTCCCTGTTTTGAAATTACTTGAAGAAGACAACGATCCATAGAATTTGTTAATTGTAGGATGTCATCTGCTGTAATGCGGCGAGATATGTCAAGAATTGCTTCCCACAACTCAGTGTTGCTCCTGAATTGTCGTTCGTTGGCTTACAGTCTTCGCTTCATAATGCTCCATAGGTTTTCGATTGGGTTCAAATCCGGAGCATTTGCTGGCCACTTCATTTTTCGAGGTCCATCGAATCCTAACTGTTTCAAATATTCAGTAGTCTTGTGAGCAGCATGTGAAGGAGCATTATCTTGCATAAAAACAATGGCCCTTTTGAAAGCAAATCTTTGCCTTTTCAAACACGGTTCAAGATGTTCCTTCATAAACGCTATGTATGCATCAGCATTCATTTTGACGCCATCTGGTACTCTCCATGGGCCCACTTATGTCTTTCCAATAATACCAACCAGATCATTATGCTTCCACCGCCTTGTTGGCGTCTCAAACGCTCATGGCGATTCTGTCCGTTCATTACCCAGCCTTTGCACCATCTATCTGGCCCATCAAGTGTTGCTCGAGTTTCTTCTGTGAACAAAACTTTAGAGAAGTCAATCTTCATATTGTCCTCGGCCCATTTCAATCGATTTTGAATGTGATTTCTCGTCAACGGAGGCTTCGATACAGGTTTGACTGTTGTTGCTATTTCCCTCAGATACCGACGCCGAGTACTTTTAGACACAGTAGGATCCCCAATGCGACTGAAAAGCTCTTCACTGGTAAGTCCACGGTTCTTCGTGGCCTCTCGTTTAAGTCGTGACATGAGACGACGTGAAATAACCCTCGGCTTGCCTTTATCTGCCCTTTTGCGTACTTGTGTAGGGTCGGCGGTGAACTTTTTCACTGTATGATGACACCTCCCTATCATTTTAGAAATTTATAGGGTAGATTTACCTTTTGAGAGTTCTGAGGTGATAGTTTTCTTTTCAGCGTCACTTAAACTGCTTTCACGGCCCATCTTTTCAATAAATTCTTGTACTTTTCTAATAATTTGGCACGCTCAAATCACTGCGCTGATAACAAATATGGCGCCAGTTTGTTTACATTGGGTAGATAAGTACGAACATTTCCGTGATTGCACAGGTCAATGTTGCCAACATTGTGTGAAAATTTTGTGTGAATTGATTGGAAGGTTTTTGAAATATTATAAAAAATCTCGATAATAATTTGGCACGCATTGTATATGTGCGTGCGGAAGTAGTAAGAAGACTACGCAAAACTGAAGAAGAAATGAGAGTCTGCTTATTGCACAATCGACCAAACATCGAAGAAATCACGAAAAACAACCGTGCACAGGTTTCACACTAAATAAACTGCATAAAAAGTTGAATAACTTTGAAATAAATTAATTTCATATTTGTATATGCATATTTTTTAAATCGATGGTTTAATTTCATAACATTTAAATGTATATCCTTTAAAAATGTTAAGTTTGCCGTGATATTGTCATTTGCTTCTAGGTGTGCATACAAGCAAGACATCAATCTGCCATCGACTATTATTTTCCGCCATTGAACACAGAAAAATATGATTGGATTCGAAATCCCTTCATAAATGATACTTTTAATATGGGACTTCGGTCATAGGAAGAAGAAGAATTGGCCACCATTTCTAGTGATCTAGTTGATCCAGGACTCAAAATAAAATATCCGATGGTACCTATTGATACATTTTGGATTTCAATATGACCCAAATTAGCTAAAAAGGCTTTATCAGTTTCATTGCAATTTTCTAGTTCTTATTTACGTGAATTAGGCTTCTCACCCCAAAATAACATCAAAAAATAAGAAGAGAGAAAGGCTACTCTCAACTGAAAAAGAAATGAGGGTCTACCTATCGCACATTCGACTAAACATTGAAGGAATCACGAAAAACACTAGACAGGTTTCACGCGAAATAAGTTACACAAATAGTTGAATAGAAACATTGAAATAAAGTTCATTTGATGTGTGTGCATTTTTTTAATCTATGATTTTATTTAAAACCATTTAAATGTATACCCTTTAAAAATGTTGTTAAGTATGCGATGATCGTTTCATTTCCTTCTAGATGAGCCGTTGCTTTAAAAGTTTGAGAAACACTGCTCTATATCAAAACTGAGTAGCATGTTCGATCCTCGCTAGTTACACCCTACTTTCCGCCTTGTGTCACATCTAAGCTGTACTTAGTAAATAAGGGAATTTCGACGTAGTGCAATGATTATTAAGCCTATCTTCCTACTTTAATAACTAATGGTTTTGATCCTTCCTGCAAGATCCGCACTGTGTGCTTCATACTTCCGGTTTTATATCACATTTAACCTGCGTTTAGTGAATCACTATTTTTTGAACACTTTGCTGTAGCGTGATGGTTAGCAAGCTTGCGTCAAAAGACCAGCTACGATTGAGTATTGAATTCGATCATCACTGATTTCCCCTGTCTTGTGGTCTCATGCCATATATAAGATACCTTTAGTATATCAATATTTCTTCTGTACTTCAACGTGATTTAATGCTTGGCAAGCTCTTCTCGCTAGATCAATTACTAGTGCTTTCTATACACACTGGGCACTCAACTCTTGTAGCCTTGTGTCAAATTTAAGCTACGCTTAGTTAACAAGAGAATGAATAATGAATTGGGCTGGGATCAGCTTGTAGCATCTGTTTTTGAGCATTCAGTATTTTTTTTTTTTTGTTGGGTAGTTGAAATTTAGGTATCTCTATATTTCGGATATGAGGTATTATGTACATTATTTATATTATTCGGACTATTGTTCTCATCTTTGTCGCCATATTTCTTACAACGTTTCGGCCGTTGTACGCTCCGGCCTTCTTCAGGTGGTTGGAATGTCGGACTGAACCCTTTATTTCGCTCACTGAGGTAGACTGTTCTGGTTCCACATGCTATGTTTTAATGGATGTCAGTTGCGAGTTATGTCCTGTTAATTCACCTTTCCAAGTTCTCCATCGCCTTAACCTCAAGGAAACATGGCACAGTGGATATAGGCGATAGTTAGATCCAGTGACAGGACTCAAAAGAAGGTGAGTTCAATACCCGGTTAAGGCAGTGTAGAACTTGGAAAGGGGAATTAACTCATTAATTTCTAGCGTACATAAGAGGCATCAGAGAATCAGGTACTTACAAGACAGATTGAAGGCCTTAAGGAAACATAGCACATAGGATATAGGCGATAGTTAGATCCAGTGACAGGAACCAAAAGAGGGTGAGTTCAATACCCGGTTAAGGCAGTGGAGAACTTGGAAAAGAACATTAATTTTGTACATAAGAGGGCCTTACAAGACAGAAAGGCCTTAAGGAAACATGGCACATAGGATATAGGCGATAGTTAGATCCAGTGACAGGAACCAAAAAGAGGGTGAGTTCAATACCCGGTTAAGGCAGTGGAGAACTTGGAAAGGGAATTAACTAATTAATTTTAATTTCTACAAGACAGATTGAAGGTAAGGAAACATAAGAGGATATCGAGAGTTAGATCCAGTGACAGGAACCAAAAAGAGGGTGACATACCCGGTTAAGACAAGACAGATTTTAGCGTACATAAAGGCATCAGAGAATTACATACAAGACAGATTGGCACATAGGATATAGGAGGCGATAGTTAGATCCAGTGACAGGAACCAAAAAGGGTGAGTTCAATACCCGGTTCAATAGTGGGTTGGAAAGGGCAGTGGAGAACTTACAAGACAGATTGAAGGGGAAACATTAACTAGGATTAATTTCTAGTGACGAACATAAGAGGTGGATCAGACCGGTTAAGCGGAATAAGAGTACTTACAAGACAGATTGAAGGCCTTAAGGAAACATGGCACATAGGATATAGGCGATAGTTAGATCCAGTGACAGGAACCAAAAGAGGGTGAGTTCAATACCCGGTTAAGGCAGTGGAGAACTTGGAAAGGGGAATTAACTAATTAATTTCTAGCGTACATAAGAGGCATCAGAGAATCAGGTACTCACAGGACAGATTGAAGGTTAGATGAACTGAGGAATAGAGCGCAAAGTGACCGAGAGTAAATGAATCGCAGAACAGGGTTTAGGAGAAATAACGAAAAGACAAAATACAAGACAAAGAATGGGCGATTTTGGAGTGCTATGGCCGCCAACATACTGAAGGGACCCAGCATATCGAAGAAAAGCATTAGGGCATGCATGATCGGGGGCATTTCAACTAAGATGAACTACTTTCCTCATTTCACCAAGGAAAGAGGGTTGGTGGATAACAAATGCCAGCGTGGCTGTTGTTGTGTGAACAAAGCAATCAACGTCTTAGTTTTATATGTAAGCGTATGGACACTTTCTCCATTAAAAATAAATCACCTCGTATCACATCTTGTTACCAAGAACAGGGAGGGAAATACCGATTAAATTCAAGGTCAGTGTGGTGTAACTTTTCCCCTCGTCGGCCATGGTTCTGCCGTCAGGCGCTTTCACGGTTGCGTAATGAATAAAACATAGATATTCCTTAATACCTGGCTGCATTAGATAACAATGCAATATGTACCATTGGTAAGTAAATGACGTCTTTTACCATATCGAATAAAAATAGCGGGGTATTGGATATTAAATGTGTGTAAATCAATTTCAATCGAGATATCTTCCGATTGTAAATAACTTACGGCCACATCATGTTGAAGCACCAGTTCCTCTACGATCAGTGAAGTTAAGCAAAACCGAGGATGATCAGTATCTAGATGGGTGACCGCTTGGGAATGCCAAGTGCTGTCAGCTTAGATTTACGGATGGTGTAATGAATACAGGCTTGGAATGTTTAATCAGAAAGCTGTGGTGTTGGCAATATTGGCCCTCCACAATTTCGTATCTTTTATAGTACACCCGGATATAAGAGAGATGTCGGGACCGGAGAAGAAGTCTCTTATATCCGGTTTTCTCTTATATCCGGGTTTGGTTTATTTTGTTTAGGTAAGTATGGGAACACTTCATATGTACAGAACACTAGTTTATTTAACAGTTATAGACATAAAAACACAGACAAAAATATATTTTCAATCAGTTTTCAAAATTATTCAATCAAAAATTACTTTTTCTTAAAAAATCGGTCATTTTTATTTGTACAGAAATCTCTTTGTTAACATCATGAACACTTTCATACAGTCCGTAAATCATTTTCAATGCGCCATCAGGATTACTGCTTTTTGCTTCAAAGTAGGCTGTCAGAGTTTCAAGCGCATTCAATGCAGCCAAAGAATTTGGCACTGGTTTGTCACTTTCAGAAACTTCAGAACTTACGCTTTCAGCATCATCATCTTCGTCAAAATCTTGATCACCCGATTTTATACCACGTGTGATGTCCGTGTCAGTCAGTTCTCCATAACATTGTGTACGGTCGTCGAAGCTGATAAATTCATCAAAATTTGTTTGCTCCATGCCCGATGGTGGAGAAACTTGATCATTTTTGTCGAGTATTTCTTCCACTTCAGCCTGTGATTTAATGACAAAGCCGGCCTTTTTAAAACAATTTTGAATTGTTGACGGTTTGACCATGAAAAGTGCTCGCTTCATCATGTACATGGCCTTCAAAACAGTTATCTGCTTGGCCACCTCGGACAGCGGCACTGACGATAATACGCTTTGAATGAACGAATGATGCCTTGATCCAAAGGTTGAATGAGACTGATGGTGTTTGGTGGCATGAACAACAATTTGATGTTTGACAGATTTGTACCCGGCAGTAAGTTATGACAAGTTGCATTGTCCAAAAACAGAATAATCTTTCGATTTTGAGAAATCATTTTTCGATCAAGCGTTTTCATAACGTCAGTAAACAGCTGACATGTCATCCAGGCTTTACGATTAGCGAAGTAAGAAAACAACAGTTTTGACATTTTTAAAGCAGCGTGGTTTTGCCGACTTACCAACAACTACAGCTTGCTTTTCACTGCCGTCCATGTTTGTGAAATGAAGCATCGTGAGTCTGTCTTTGGGAACTTTTGTCCCCTTTTGACTGTTCGTCGCCGGCAAATCGCAAAGATCCAGACGGCATGGCTTTGTAGAAAATTCCCGTTTCCTCACAGTTCCAAACATCTTTGGGATCATATCCATGAAAAAGTTGCGGCAAAACATTTGTCACCCGTTCGTTGATTCGCCGTGAATTTTTTTGAACGAAACGTTATTGGCCTGCTTCCAGCGCATGAGCCAGCCATTGCTCGGTTCAAAATCAACTTCAAGATTTATGGCCAGTTGTGATGCTTTCTGCCTGATGACGTGATCAATGACGGTAGCTCCATGAGCACATGCTTGCGTAAACCATTGTGTAAGCGCTTCGTTAACGTCCTTGTGCACGGATTGGCGCTTTCGTTTGCGATTAGTGTTTCCGTTCATTTGCATGCAAGATCTGAGATCGTCTTCTTTCTTGAGAATTTTTGCTGCTGTTGAATAACCGATTCTGTACTTTTTGGCTGCAGCGGCCAGTTTGAGTTTCTTCACTTTGACATCGTCGATGAGCTCCGACTGCTCAGAAATGCTCAGAGTTTTTCGTTGAGACGGCGACGCCGACATCACTAATCGCAATGACCGCAAGCAAACGGTTTTCAGTGGCAAAATTAACAAACAGACAAACGTCTGACTCAACAGAACAGTGGGTAAAGTGAAAGTGCTGTCCAGTAAATGCAACGACAAGCAAAGTCGGCAAAAAAGCGAAATCATAAGGTAGAGGGTGACTCCACAGACAAAAGATAAGACACAGGTGTCTCTAGACAGACACAGATTGGACACACTCTGTCTCTAACTGACCTCTGTTTAACCGATTTACGACATCACACTGTCTCAAAACGAACTCTCTTTTATCGGGGAGGACGACAGAGAAATCTGTCTTATATCCGGGTTTCTCTTATATCGGGTCTAATTTATATACATTAACACAGGCTCTAATTTGGGACCAGAAAAATCTCTCTTATATCCGGGTTTCTCTTATATCCGGGTTACACTGTACTTAATAAAGTTGGTATTTTTGTTATGTCTGCAAAACCCTGTTTGCCATTCATTTACTCAAGTCGGTGACATAAGCTAAGCGTTTCTTTCCTCTACCTCTCTTGCTTTCAATATGTCCTGTGAATATCAAATTTTCCAAACCCTCTTTCCTCAGGTTCTCACATCACTTTAAGATATGACAATATTATATGTGTCCCTTCTTAATCTTCTTCTACGTATCATATCCCTTCAGGTTGTGGGCAATTATGGCTCTCCACAATTCCCTATCCTTTGTATCTCTTAGCAAAATTTGTTTTTTCTGTCTCTACTAACGCTTGTTTAACTATTTACGCAAATTCGTTACTTAGCCTGTCTATTTAGTCTTCAACTGTCTCTTTCTGATGTTAAGTGTAATGTCATTTTTGTTCCCATCGTCTCCGAAACTTTGTCGTCGTCTGATTCATAGTATTTTCTGCATCCTTATATAGAACCACATTTCTGTTACTTCAAGTATCTTCTTCATCTGTGAGGAGCTTGCCCAGTATTCACTGTCATATAGGAGAACTGGTGTTACGTAGCAATTCAGCACGATTTCTTTTCTTTCTCCTGTTTCATGTCTCTTCTTCATCTGGGATGAGGTTGTTCCGCATTCACAACCATATTGGAGGATTGATATTAAGTAACAGTTCAGGAATCTTTTCTTTGTTTCTATCGAAATCGTCCTGTTTCTTCGGACTTCTGATTAGCTTTTGAATGCGTCTTCAGGTATGCCAATGTAACTTCGAATTTCGGTGTCAACGTTTCCATTCTCTTTCGAATACTTCTCAGATAAAGTTGGTTCCCGGTGCTGTGCTATAAAAGTTCTCATACTAGAATCTGTCTTATATAGATAAGACAGATTCTAGTATGAGAACTTTTATGTTTACCTTTCGTCTTTGCTATGAATATTGATGCCGCATATGGTCAAGCGCTCCTGTTATCTATTTAGAGATGCTTGATAAAATAGAATGAGGAATCTGCAATGTTATTAGTCCTGACCTGGTATCTCGGTTTCATTCACCTTTTCACCACCGTAATTTAGCTTCCCTGTACATTTTCTATAAATACTTTCGTTGTAATTTTTCGGTAGACTTTTCTCTGTTATTTATGCACATTACCAGATTGACGGCAAGGTCTCACCATTTTACAGTTGAAATGTTTTATGGTCCAGGTTTGGACCAAGGAAGAACAACACGAACGCAAGAGTAGAAATAACGAAGGTATATTACACGAAATAATAATACAAGATGTGGAAGATGTTAGTATGACTGTCAGTCTGGTTTGGAGTGATCTGCTATCAGCTCGACTCGATTCGGTATCTAGCCACCCCCCCACAAGGGTTGCATATGGCACAAGGCCGAGTTTAACGTGGGTTTCCCGAGCCGTAGACTCGGCCAAAAAATGCCCGTAGAACCCGTATAAACGGGATCGGGTTGGTCAACCTCCCCGAACGAGACTCTGCCCTTCGGTGGAGCGTCGTCCAGGTTCCTCTCTGTTCAGAGGCAGAGAGTTCGACCGTCAAGTCGAGAAGCTCGGCCTTGATTCGGTATCTAGCCACCCCCCTACGAGGGTTGCATGTGGCACAAGGCCGAGTTTAACGTGGGTTTCCCGAGTCCGTAGGCTCGGCCAAAAAATGCCCGCAGAACCCGTATAAACGGGATCGGGTTGGTCAACCTCCTCGAACGAGACTCTGCCCTTCGGCGGAGCCTCGTCCGGGTTCCTCTCTGCTCATAGGCAGAGAGTTCGACCGTCAAGTCGAGAATCTCGGCTTGATTCGTCCCTCTCTCTTGAGAGGCGTAGTATACATAGTGTTAGAAGAATTCATTCTGTAGTTATAGGTAAAGACCCATGACAAAGTGCCTAGATATTATCGTAAGTTCTGTGATAAAAGTTTCTTGTATTACACTTCTCGCTTGTGGAACTCTCTTCCAGCTTCCCAGTCAACTTTGATCTACAATAATTGTAAACACTTCCTGAAGGGAGACGACACATAGCAGAAAAATAAAAATCAGAAGGCGTAACATTTACCGCGCTTAGAGTTACATTTTCAAACTCACACCTCTCTGCAGTTTTTTCTTAGCACAATGTTTATTACAACGGTTTACGTCTCAAAATATACAACGATGGATGTCTGCAAGATTTGAGCCTCAGTGAAAGAAAGCCCAGATTTTAATGCTGTTGGTTCTTGTGTCCACTCTATTTTCGATGGGTCAAGAATGACAAAAATGCGACACTTTATCAGTTTGGTTTTCCCGCGCAAGTATTGGAAAAGAGTAGTATACGGACAAAGATCTGACAGAAATTAAAATTTATGCTAACTGTAAACATCGCCATGTTGTATGCGGGTCGAATGGCAGTTACTCGCGCGGAAAGTGGAATCAGCACGCCGGGTTCGAATTCTAACTTACCCTACCGTCTTCACTTCCGAATGAAGGCATGAATCTATTTCTGCGTTCTCGGCTATGGATTAAATAGCAGTATCCTATGGACCATTTTATATTAGTTGGTAGCATGTCTCTGAGAAGTTGAAAAATAAATTAAAAGCCATGGAAAAGCGAACAGGAAACCATTCCACCATATTCCACAAAATGGACTGGAAATACACAGATTATAAAAAAAGAAAACTAGCAAATTACTTTCCTTCACCTCAATTATACCAGCAACAGCCTGCTAATCGCTGTTGCTATAAATAATTATTTCTCCTTTAAACTATCTGTGGATAGCCAGGATCGTTTACGAACTAAATTGGCACAGCCCCAAAATACAACACATACATGTGTATGTGTGTGTGTGTGTGTGTGTGTGTGTATACATACTACAAAGAATTACACTTAGTGTTAAGACAGTTCAACAAGAATGTCATAGATTGACAGAACGCTTCTCTTTCTACGGCTTACCAACGCTTTTCACGCTATTTATAGCGAGAAAATATTTTAGATTAGAAGAATTTTATTATATTGGAGGTAATAATTATTGAGAGATAACGGTCTTCCTAATTAGCCCATAGCTGGGGACCCAAAAGTGGTGAATTCATGCCTTCTCCAACGGCTATTTCCACGAAAATGAATATAATAAAGCCAACGGGAATTGGAATTTGATTCTCCGATTTCAAATTCCAAATCATTATCTATTATACCACCCACGCATCCAAGCTTGCAGAACCAGGTATTCACAAAGCGTATCATAGGTGTTTATACAAAGATCCCCTTGCGAAAAGGTTATTTTACCATTTCCGCTGCTTCACTTCCGCATAAAGGCATGAATCTGTTTCTGTGTTCTCGGTTATCGATAGTAGAATCGTCTGTGTCGTCTTATATTTGTTGGTAGCATAAAAAATGATTAATGACAATTGGTATCATTTGTACATTATTTGGGCTATTGTCCTCATCTTTTTCGCCATATTTATCACAACGTTTCGGCCGTTGTACGCTCCGGCCTTCTTCAGGTGGTTGGAATGTCGAACTGAACCCTTTATTTTGCTCACTGGGGTAGACAGTTCTAGTTCCCCGTGCCATGTTTGATTGATGTCAATTATCAGTTATCTCCTGTTAATTTCCCTCTGAAAGTTCTCCACTGCCTTAACCGGGTATTGAACCCACACTCTTTGGGTCCTGTCACTGGATCTAACCATCGTCTTTATCCACTGTGCCATGTGTCCTTGAGGAAATATGGCGACAAAGATGAGGACAATAGTCCGAATAATGTAAATAATGTACATAATACCTCATCTCAAAAATATAGACAGACTCATTTGTGTTTTTAATTATTGTTCTTTTATTATTCTCTCGCCTTCGTTATTTAGGGAACTCTTGCTCATTGCTTCCCAGTCTTTGATTATCAAAAACATAAATGTAAAAATTTGAATACAATGTCAGCCCATAATGTGTCTTCTTAATTTCCGTTCTAATAATTCTAACTGTTAAGGGGTCCACCCCTTTTTCATACAAGTGGACTCGCCCAGTTTGTACTTGTACTGCTGCCGGTGAATACCCGAGAGAGGTACACTGATAGAGAGATATACTGATACAGTGAGGTAACCGCTTTGTAGGAGTCACAGTTGCGAGCACGTAGACTCAGAAGGAAGTCCTACTTCGATACTGAATTTCCCAGACTGTATATATATTATTATTGCTACTAACCGCATTTCTGGATCTACTAACCGTATTACCAATTGTATTATTACGTCAATACATTTATTTGCTATATTTCATTCTTGCGTTTGTCATTCATTTGAGACCGGATTTTATCCCGGAATCCACAACATTAAGCCTCCTTAATAATGTTTTTTGTCACATATTCTCAGGAACCACCACGCGTTTTTAATGCCGTCTTTTAGGTGAAATGATTTAAGAAATTGAGTATATTTTTAAAAAAAAAATTAAATAAAATAAAAGTTCTCATTAATAAAAAAAATATATTTTTATAATTTTCTTTAGTTAGTTGAGTTTTGGACAGAAATCTCAGAAACTAACCAATTCTATTTCTCCGTCTCTAGTGGATGAAAGTAAAAAGTAAAGATTTAGAAACTTTGTTTTTGAGAAACATTTCAAAACAGATTAAAAACGGTAAGATTATCTTTTCATCTTTGTCGAACTCAATAATCTACAAAAATGACTGAAATAAAAAGAAAAGTCACTTCGAAAGCCGATCAAAGCAGAGGAAATCCTAAAATAACCTTTTCGCAAGGGGATCTCTCT